CACACCTTTTATGGACACATGCTAGATGGGGCGTGCATCCCTTCCACGAGAAACAAAGTAGCCTGGAAAAATTAATTTGGAGACCACCAGTACAGTCAAAGACACTTTTGAATAATGTTTTCTCCTTACTGTCAAAATGTTTTTACAATTGTGTCTCTTCAACGCTACAAATATTCCCCGTTGCTTGAATAGTACACTCGGGGGAAAGGCAAGATGATAGCCAAGCATGCAGCTTCTTTGAAGAATTTGACCCAGCAACAGGATTTCCAGCTTCTTAAAAATGACTCTGTTGGTTTGCCAGATTTAACAGAGGATCCAACTTGCTGACTACAAGTGATACCACCCTGGGTCAGTTGCTTGGTATTCGGTAGCTTGGTGTACAGTGGAAAAGCTGTACCACAGTCTGCCAAATAAGGGAAACTCATGGCCCCAGCAAGGAAAAGCTATTCCAGTGCATTGTTGTCACAAAGGGGTGATAACAATTTTCCCATGGAATCAAGAACTCTCCTAGAGCAGCCTAAAATGAAACTGGCTCAAAACACAAATTGTCCTGTGGTTCAGTCGGTTTCCTGATGCAACAGCCCTGTGTCACATCAAAGTCTGTCTGCACATACACTGTAAACCCTTCTATTTATTTAGCTATCGACAAATTACTTCTCTGTGGGCAAGTTTTGGATATAGTTTAAAGGCCAGATCTGGCATTCTTTGGTGTGAATAATCAGCACTGAGGCCAAGAGCAGTTTCCTAGTAGAAATGAAACAGCAGTAAACAAGCTAACTAACTTCCTTAGCACCTGAAAGCTTTACCTTTACAAAGTAGAAATGAGTAGTGACAAACTGTCATAGCATGGGGAGCACCACAAAGGAAAATGGGAGGTGAATATCTCTGCACATCTTATGAAGTCAAAGAGAGACGTTGTTACTCTGCATCCAATGCTTGTGTTGCCTTTGCATCCAAACTCTGCCTAACCCTGTGCTAGTCCAGCCATCAATAGCAAAACCATTCCAGAGTGGATAGAACAGCAGTTTTGGTATTACTGTCCTGATAGGCACACCTTTGTTGGTAGGTAAGAGAGCATGTACCACAGAATCAAAGCCTGGTTGAAGTTGGAAGGGACCTCTTGAAATCATCTAGGGATTTTGTTCATTGTTGTTTTTGGGATTTTTGTGTTTGTTTTTAGATAAGTAATGCAGGATACCTCCATAAGAAAAAATGAAATGCCTGAGTGCAGGGTCTGCTAGGATGGTATTAGAAATTGGACAAGAGAGGGCCAGATCTGACAGTCTCACCTGTATTAACTAGTAAAGAAGTACTCACAAAGAGTGATTCAACAAGAACAAACCCAGATTCCCTCAAGAGAAGTCCTGGAATGAACTAGTGCCTGTGGAGCTGCCAGCACAGGCTCCAGAATCCAGGAGTGATGCCAGAGCTACGTGATTTTACCTCGCAGACTCATGCAGATGCATGACAGGGTCCTGCTAAAACACCTGCAACCAACTCCCTCTGCAGAAAGGGTTTTTCTCAGGCTGACTGAGCCATGTGCGAGCTTGATGCTTCCTGAGCATTTGTTACCCTCCATGTGTGCTCACAAAAGATGCCAGGGGCCTCAGTGCCAGAACAAGTGTCTTGCTTGCTCTTCTGTCACCACAGCTTTGCCTTCACACCCCTGACTGAAATAGCTTTGCTGGCAGAATCCAGGGTAGATCTGTGCTTAGTTCCTGGAAACAAAGGAAAAGCACTTAAGGGAAAAGAATGTTTGAATAAATTTGTAATGTGTTGAAGACTGAAATACAGGATAAAATTTAGATCTCTATTGTTGTTACATAGCTCGACATCTGAACTCTTATTATTCTGCTCAGGCTCAAAATCCCACACTTCATCATTGTGATCACTGAGCGCCTGCTGCCAACAGCTGAGATTTTCAAAGGATTGCAAGGGAGGCTGAATTTTGGTGAGATTTGGGCACCTGAATTCTCCCATGATATCTAGATAATCCTAGTTTTTATTAGCAGTCTTTTTATAAGTTTTTGTTATATTCTGGAAGGTTGTTCTTGTTTGGTTTTCTTTTTTTTTTTTTTAATAGTTCGGGGTCAAACACCAGAATTCAGTCCATAACACTAAGAAATTCATTGCTTAATGTTAGATCCTTTTCTAAGATTTGCAATTGCATCGCCAATAAACAAGCACACACAGGACATATTGGTCTTAGGAAAACCACAGTCCATCTGAGGGTGAGTCAAGATCATATTAAACAAACAGACAGAAAAGGCCACTTGGGGGAATTTCTCCCCAGATTGAAATACAGGACCACCTCTGAAAAAAAAAAAAATTGCAGATGGCAAGGCTAAAGAAAATCTAGTTATAGCAGAAGAGAAAAGCATATGTTCCACATACATACTATAAATAGACTAGGTACTCTTATGGGATATATCAGCATACAAAACAGCAATAGAAGAGGCCAGAATAAATGTGCATGTTTATTTCGGTTTTTTTTTCTTGAGTCCTGTCACTTTCCTGCATGCATCTCGTGACATTACAGGGTTCTGGTTTTTTTTGTTGCATCATGTTTTAAAAACTAGTGTTTGATTCAAAATAAAGCTAATTTGCATTGGCATAGTGACTTAACTCACTGCTATATTATTACTGTGTAAGTAGGTGTAACAGCAACTGCAAATAAATGCTTGCTGATGGAATCCCAGCAGGGTTTCTGATGAGTTTTCATTTTGTGGAATCTTACCCAGGAAATTATTGTGTAAAAAGGTTTGCTCTTAGTTCTTTGCCTGAAACATTATTTAGCCACACCTGGCCAAATTAATGACAATTATACTAACTATCCGTAGAGGACATACCAAAAAAATCCCATCCCTTTTTAAATCATTGTCTCAAACCCCATGTATGAACAGTGAAGATATCCCCTTCAGATTAATATGCACAATGAGACTTCTGATCCAAATGCTGTTCACTGCATAACCTACATAGAGAAAGATAAAATGAAAGCTTTAAGGTGGAATCTAGGTGACTCACCACTGGAATATTCTAACTGAAAGTATTTCACAGTAAAACATGTCATTCAAAGCAGAAGTATTTATTATTATGATGGTTTTGGCAAGACATTTGATCGCGTCATTGGAGTTGATTTTCATTTTAGTCATTTGGGCTGAGAGTGTCTCCAATTATTTTGCTGTTGAGGGTTTAATGGCTCATTCCAATCAATTCAGAATACCTAAGAAATGCTGCAATGGGCCCTGCATGTCCCACATTCTACAGTCTCCTATAAAGGAATTATTTAGGTCAACCTTTCTTACCTACAGTAAAAGGCAGGAAAAAAAGTTTGCAGTAAAAGGTTGAAGAATAGCTATTGATGCTTTTATATAGATCCACAAGAGTAACCACCAAAAGAACACGCAAAATCCACTGCTAATATTATATAAAGATTTGCAAGTCTCCTGCAAATATTACCACGGTGATTATTTGAAAACCAACAAACAAGATTAAAATAAATGTTCCTCTTTCCTACACTAGCAAGTGAGAATTTGCCAAAGAATGGGAATTAAAATGAGTTTTCCTATTGATTGCTGCGAATGTTTATGAATTCTTTTAAGTGATAATGATGAAAATTAGCATCCAATTTAGAAAAATTGATAAAGTACCTTAAAAAAGACCACTCTGAAAGGTTCTGTAGAGGAACTGCACCAAGATTTACAAAGCATACTGACCTACTTATTTTTTTTTTAAAATCCCACTCTAAAAAAATCTATACGCTCAAGGCAGTATGATTTTTTTTTTTTTTTCCCAGCTTAAAGCTAAATTTACCTTCCTGTTTAATTCCAAAATGGCATTCTACTGCACAGATTCTATTTACCTGTGACGTGAATATCACTGGGCAGGATTCCTGCAGCATCAGGAAGTGGCCAACCCAGCCACCTATGCCACCACACCTGCCAGCACAAGGGGGAATCGATATCTTGGTATGATTTATAAGGGCACCATTTCAAGTTCCATTTAGTTCAGTGCACCAGAATAAACAAAACACAATAAAATATCTCTCCTGTGAAAAGTCTCTGCTTCACAGCTCAGCTTTCAGTACTTACAGCTTTCATTACCATGGGAAGACTTGGCGAGCTATCCTGCCCTGCTGAGCAACCATGATTTGGAAGGGCCACCTACCTGAATCAGAACAGAGGTTATAACAGGTGTCAAGGCTTCTGGATGTCACTTCAAGATGTTATTCAGCTGTGGAAACATTTATGCATGGCCAAAGGAAGAGAGGGAGGATAGCACAGTCACTTGAATATCTGCATACAGACTTTGCTTTTTTAAAAATCTGTATGGAATGTTTTGAGGAAATTACTACGTGTATTAAAAAAGTTACACTTTGCTTTGGAAATGTAAATCTCTCACATCACATGACTTCTTTTGCATGGTTTATCATGAACTTGCCATGGGTTTTAAGCAAGAAACAACATGTGAAGCAGAGTACAGAGCACAGTGTGTTTCTAGGAAGCCATTATGTGGATAGTCTCAGTAATGAGTAGGAATGCAATACCTTTGCTAGAATCTGGATTGGGTTTTTTTTTACATTACAGTGCCACCACTCATTTGGGGAATACTGCTATAGCTCCCATCCTACAGGCACTTTGGAAGTGCCTCTCCTGGGAGTCAGCTTTCACTACCCTTCTGTACAGCAGTCTCTCCTCCCTGTAGAAAGCTCCTTCTTTTTCTCAGCTCCTGCTGAACTCAGCACTCAGCATAATGTCCTGTCTCCTGCAGGGGCAAGGAACCCATTTCCCCCAGAAAAACAGGCTCCTGCTGCCTTGGCTCCGTGGGAAGTTAAATCCCAGGTTTGGGATCCCACTCGCCTGCAAGTAGAGTGAGAGCAGGAGCTGCTACCTCTCCTGCAAGCATCATTTCCATCTATTTAAAGAGCTGTGATTCACAAATCATGAGGACTACAAATTTAGGGGAGCACATTTTAGAAAAGCAGAAGTCCTGCCCTTTCTCCACACTTGGCCACAAGTCTCAGGAGAAGCCTGAGCCTAGGAAAAGGTGTAAACCCACCAACTCACCAGGAGCCAGGTGCAGACTGGGGGAACTCTGCTTTAGAAGTAAATGTGATTGCATGGGGATTTTTGTTTTTTTGGTGATTTTTATTTTAGTTAGTTTGTTTGTTTGTTTTTTAAATTTAGTTAGGAATGTAATGAAAAAGCAAGCACGTAAAATATGGAGTTCATTTAAAGAGAAATATGTAATCAGAATTTTATCAAGCTATGCTGGAGAAGATGTGATTGTTACCTGGGCAAAAATGCTTTATATAATTCCTTTATTGAGATCTGCATGATAGACTGACTGGCAGAGCTATTAATTGATTCTTTGTATTTCTGATCTCGCTAGGGCCAGCAAGCATTCCTAAAGGTTTTTAATTCCTCATCATGACATCCATTATATTCACCTCTGAGATGTCTAAATTAATTCCACGTATAATGGCGATGTTATGTAAAATGCAAGATGACAGGAATCCTTAGAATTGTTCAAAGCTGTGCTGTGGAAACCAACCTTATTTGTGCTAGCCATCCAATATGGGATTTGCATGTTTGGGTTTTCCACAGGCACGGTGAGAAACTCAGCTCTGTAAGGGTTTAGACCTTGCAGGTGGGGTAGTGTTATATCCCTTGTGGCTCCACTATGAACAGAAAACCAAACACAAACTAAAATAATCTATACAGGAAGAACAGGCATGCTGACAGAGATTGTTTGACATTAGAAAAGCACAGCTACAGCTGCCTACTCTTTGTTACGATGTCTACAGTAAATCTGGGATAATGCTCACACAAGAAACAAAGAACCACCACAGAGGACACTTATATAGGAGAAATAGATTCTGAAAGGTGTCAATTTAAGTAATTTAACTACAGCAAAGGAAAAATAAAGCAGTTCTCTAAAATCTGAGCCTTTCAGTTGTGGAAAGCAGCTGTGAGAAAAATCTAGCCTTTCTTTGGAGCAGGAAAATAGGACAGTTGTATGATACAGGCAAGAAGCTGCATTCCTAAATATATAGTGTCCTTTGCTAATTTATATAATACAGTGTTAATAAAAGATTTATATCTCCTTCTTACCTGAACTGTCAAAAGAGTGGGATTGGACTGGATAATCTTTAAAGGTCCTTTCCAGGCGGAGTCATTCCATGGTTCTGTGATCCTATGCTATGGGTCTCACCCATCCTGGGAAGGTGAGAGAAGGGCCACCCAACACGTGAGCAAATTGTACTCTCCATATTGCCTCTGCAGGTTATGATTACAGAGCAAAACTGGTAAGATGTTGTTTTAGGACTTGCATGATTTTAACTCAAAAGATGCCCCAAACTATGCCGACAATAAACATGGTTTGTTCTTCTGCCAGCTGAGTCCCAAGCTTCTTTTGGGTTTACCAAACATCTGAGAACAAATGCCCTGTCTGAATAAAATCAATGTGAAGAAAAATTTGAACACAAAATGAATATCTGTGATGCAAATTCTACAACATGTATGAGAAAGACCTGCAGCACTACTGACAGTCCAAATCCACTGACACATACATTAAGTGCAGTGCTGTACAAACATAAAGAAACATTCCTTTCTGGACTTTGTACTAACCTTTATTTTCTCCTAAATATCTGAAAACCATACATTTATATTTTTTTCACAGAAACAGCTATTAAAAGACTCCTTATAATGAAGAATTGAGGTAAAGCAGCATATGTTTAACATCTTTAAGAGCAACAAAATCATTGGTTCCTTCATATCATCAAAGATCCTTTCCTAAAACACATCAAATCAGAAATCTGTGAAGAACATCTTGGGGTCAGAACTGGCAAAATACAAGGTGAGAGCAGAAAGATTAAATGATTTTTTGGTATTTAGTTTTTCTGGTTTTAACTTTGGAATTTGTGTCTCACTCTCTCAGCAGAAGATCTGAATCAAATCAAAGTGCAGATTGTGCAGGTTGTGGACTGAATAGATTAAATTAACACCAACAAATTTTCAGACTCAAATGATACTTAGACAGCAATGTAGCTGAAATTTCAGGAATAAAATACCTTGCCTACTAATGGTGCTGTATAACTTCTGTGCATTTCCACTGGGATGTGGGCCAAAAATCTAATCAAGAGGTTTGAGGATCTGACATACGTGAAACGTCAAATTGATAAACCTACCAGGAAAATGAGTAGAAGGAACAGATGGACTGCTGCACAAATAGGAAAAGAAAAATCAACACACCCTTTGGAGGGGAAGTCCAGACTCACAGACTGTCCACAGGGGTCTTTTCAGAATATTCATAAATGACATGGAAAAAGGGCACGACAAAATTTGTTGATGACACTGAGCTATTAAGGATGGTGGCACAGATTTAGTATGAGAGAACGTGTCAAAAGACCTACCAAGGGAGACAGTAACTGATGATAATGACACCTGAAGTTCAAGATAGGTAAAGTGTTGTACGAAAGTAATTCTAGCTTGCTTCATGAAATGATCGACTCTGAGATGGTTGTTCCTATTTGGGAATGAGAACACATATAATTTAGGATAGCAGTCCTAAACTGACTGCTTGGCAGTGGGTGAAAAAATACAATTAGAAAAGGGAGAAAAACTGTTACACCCCCCTATAAATCTGTAATACACACACCATTCGAAACTGTGAACAGGTCTGATTTTCTGCAACCTGGGAAGAGCAACACTGAAGTGATAAAGATTCAGACAGGGACAACAAGGATGGGAAAGGTATGAAATTGTTTCTACAAGGGGATTTAATCAACTAGGACTCCTGAGCTTGAAAAGTTAAAAATAATAGAAGATACAATAGAGATCAATAAAAATTGTGAGTGGCAGAAGTAGAATTCTGAAGAAATTACTACAACTTCCTACATAAGAACTAGGAAAGTTAGTAGGTGTTAAGTGCAAAACACAAAACAAAGGTTCTCTCCCCATGAAGTTGTGGAACTTCCTGAAGCAGGATGATGTGAATGCTTAAAATTCAGATGCCTCCTACACATTAAATTCTTGAGAGAAAAAAACTTGTCTCACCTAATATGAAACAAAATAACCTCTGATACAGACAGTCCTTGAGCCACAAACTTTCAGAGTTTGAGAAGAAATTTTGCATGTAATGTCATTACTGTACGCTTCAATCCACATATACTAATGGCCACTGTCAAATCCTACCTCATTGAGCTGAAGTATTATACAGTATGACTATTCTTATGTTCCTGTCCTAAAATTTCCCAGACACATTAGGACAATGAATCCAAGGAAAGGCAGCAAGTGAACCAGGGCCTATGGAGCTTAAGAGAAGCATTTAAGATAAATGTAAGAATATTTTAGTTTACTGAATATACTTTCCAGTCCATTTGTACTAGATATTTAATGACATGCATTTTACTTCCTTTTTCAATATTTCTTCACTCTCTGTAGGGAGAAGTTGGATCTGAAGGTGAAGATGCTAAGGAAGGTCAGGTAAAGATCACAAAGAAAAACTGTAAAGAAGATTTTCAGAACCAAGAACAGTTGGCTTATTCTGAGTTTAAAACACTGCGTGAAATCTAAGAACAGACTAGAAGAATGATACAAACATACAGTTGATATTTATAAACAGAAAGGGTGAAGGAGTTGTTATAAAAAATCTTTTTATCGTTCTTCAGAACTGTGAATCTGATGCCACAGTAAGTTCCCTACTTACACAGGAAAGGACAGATTTAACCTCTTCTTGCTTTTAGCCTTCTCTGAAAAGCTTCAAAAAGACTCTCTGCAGAACCACATCCTTCCAACACTTAAGAATATGATCCCAAACCTATTAAAGGCATTTAGCTTAAAAAATTATTTAATTAAATTGTTTCCAGAACTTCCAGAGGAGTCAAATTAAAATTTAATATTTTAATGTATCTGTACTTTCAACATTTCGGAATAAGAAACAAATAAATCTTGGCTTAGCAAAGCGTAAAGCAAGGCTTTATTCTTCCTTCCAGCTACAACTTTCTTTTTGTCAAACACTTTTTAAAAATAGATTTCTGCAAGATTCTCTGCATAATCACACCACTGAAAATCCTCCTTGGCAGCTGTGTAAGATAGTCACTTAAATTATCCTGCACAGGCACTGTGGTCTCTGTATATGTGGTACTTTCTACTGTAAGTTCCTAAAAAAACCAATTTCATAGTCATTAGATGTTTAATTGATGACCAAAACATTTAATTTCTCTTAAGTGAAAAATTTTTCCGTAAGTCTTTTGTAAAGACTCAAATCCTGTGTATTTAATTTGTAAATCTTAAAAAGCAGAATCAGAACAGACACAGCAGAAAGATTATGCTTTGACTGTAACTTTGGGTTTTTTTCTTCAAAATACAAAATCCTTTAAATACAGGGGGAAAAAAAAGGAGAAACTTCTTAATTCTTACCTTGGTAAACTCCCTCTATAGAAACAAAAAGAGATAAGCCTACAAGGAAGAAAATGGAAGACAATTGTCATAGCAACCATTTAAGAACATACTCAATACAGGAAATAATCTGATTAATCTCTTTTTTTAAGAACAACAAGATATACAAAACCAACCAGTTAAATATCTTTTTTTTTTTTAAGATAGTATATTAAATCTCTCTTTCTTAAATTTTTTACCCTAATTGCAAAGTTTTTGACTCATTCACTGCCTATACAGCCTATAGGGTCATAAACACAAACAAGGATAGCCAGTTCTGTTTGTTTAAATTCCCTAGACCATAGTTAAGCCCAAATATTTTTGACAGGAGACAAAGACAAGGTGATAATACCTTTAAAAACCAGGAGTAGATACTCTTGCACTGAAAATGAAAGTATTAGAAAATTAAATTAAACAAGGAGCAGAGACTAAGAAAATATAATCCCACTTACTCTTTCCCATTTTCTTGCAAGTCAACCTACTATGCTACAGAAACCTCTGTGGCTTCTGAGAAATATCTTCAATTCATGAAACCTCACCTTTTTTTTTAATTTTTTAAATATTGACATTCAGCCATTTGCTTGTTTTCAGTCTCAATTTTACCATATGCAGCAAACAAACCCTGCTGCATTTCTAGGTTTAAGATAAAACACAGACACTTATTTACTCTCCCTTTGGGGATAATCTTGACACAAGTAACACTTTACAAGCCTTGTTTCTGAAGGACTTACTTTCAGTCACTACACACTGAAAGACTCATTAACAGATCTGGATGGAGAACATTGTTGCTCATTAGTGAAATTTTATTAGAAGCAGAAGAGCATGAGACAGCAAATATTTAATAAACTGTTCCACCCTTTTCAAAGACAGCCAAAGTGTTAAATACAGCCAAAGCCTGCTCATCTAAGAGAAAGCTAAAAATCCTGCAAAAAGCCAACAGTTTCATCTGCTAATAAATAGTTTTGATAGGATTCCTATTTTTTTCAGCACATGAGAATTTGCTCCAATAATAGGTCATTTGCCATTCCTCAAGTTTTCAGAAACAAATTGCATTTCCTACAAACCCTATCCTCTGTGTAGCTATTTATACTTAAAAAGTCAAGCAAAAATACTGCATGAGCTAAATAAAAAGGGTGTTTATTGCATAATTGAAGACTGCAATTATTTTCCAGGAGGTTAAATGCATCTATTTCAGATCCTTCAAGAAAAAGCCCTATTATTGCAACTATTAAACCCTGCATATTTCTGAAGTCTAAATTTTTACCCTGAGGGCTTCCTTCTTCAGATGCAAGAAAACAAAATGCAGAAACTTATTCCAGTAGAAAGGACGGGTTATAAATTTGATCTGACTCACTCATTAAATTGAGTTTTAAAGCTTTTGAAATGCTTTAACAGATCCTAAACTTTAAACCTCATTCTCCACTTCAAACCCAGGGAAGAGTCAGTGTTTACTGAAGCATTAGGTCACACCCACTCCTCTCTTGGCAGGCCCCTGGGAAGCAGCCTTCAGTTCCTGGGGCAGAGAGCACATCGTGGGCCCCAGCCAGGGGGAGCAGCAGAAGCATTTTGTGTCACCAGACTTGTCCCAAAGACCTGCCCTTTCGAAACTCATTCCCCTCTTACATCCCAGTTGTGGCCAGACCCCACAAGTGCTCTCCCCACAGTGGCCTGGAGCAGTCACTCGTGCGTCTTCACCTCCATCTCTGTGCTGATGTGGGTCCCTCACTATGGCTGCCCCAACTGTTTGCCCACGGGAGAGCTCTGCTCTCTGTCAGATGAGTTTTTGACAGCAGACCAACTGTCCCAGCAACCACAGCTTCTCCATGGAAATGGGTGGATTTGGTGGTGGGAGGCAGGCAGGTACTTACCGCTCCACAGGCGTGACAAAGTCCAGCAGTGGGCACTTTTGTGATCAATGACACCCTTGCTTGGTGGCTTCCCAAATACCTGGTACTTTGAGGTGGCTTGAATATCATTATTTCTTTCTCCAACACAGCCAAATCTTAGAATAGGATAGACCACTTTCCCTTTGGAGAGTACTGCAGTGGTCATTCAGTGAAACTGCCTGACTGCTTCAGGGGTGCCCAGAAGCTAAAGCATGTTATCAAAGGTATTGTCCAAACATGCAGCACAGTACTCACAAGACTAACATCGTGTGCATTTGCTGCCATTTGCTATTGAAAACTACCCAAAATTCAAGGTGACAGATCTGCTGTGACTTTCAAAGACTACCCTGTGAATGTGTGCCATCCTCCACTGGACAACCACTGTACCACCACCAGCCAGCAGTGCCTCAAGCTGAAGGTCTCCTCCATTCTGCTGACTGGTTTCATACACATCTTAATTTTGCTACAAAACCGCTAGGAAACCACATTTAAATTTTGAGCCATCATTGATCGAGGAGTGTAAGAGAAATATATTCCCTCTCCTACACAAACTTCTGCTTCCCTCTTTTTCCCTTCCCCCTCCTCCCTCCTTGTATGCATCTTCTACATCCTTGTTCTTGGCAAGTCACTGGGCAGGTGTGGGTGGGAAGCTGGAAGAGTCCATAGATGTGGGTGGCTGGGAGAGTCCATGAAGGAGTGCATGTGTTGGAAGTGGAATGGCTGTTTCAGTGGCACAGAGACCTCTGAAGAAACCACTGTGAAATTCAACAAAAGTCCTGGTAGCCTCATTGCCAAGAACACACAGAGAATGGGAAGAGGTTTTGGGCCTAGAGTTTGACCATAACGTGATGTGGGCATAAAGAGTTAAGGCTCGTACTATAAACTGTGAGACGTGTGAGCGTCCTTCTGGTATTTTAGGTCCCTGACTAGCGTAGTTCTTATTTAATTTGTTTAGCCTTTCATCTTGGAATAACTAATTCGTAAGTCAAATGCTCATTTATTGGATTTCAGTTTCATCATTTGTTGTTTCATGTCTTCTGAGGATTTTGTTAAAACTCTTGATAAAAAGTTCATGCTATTTTCCTTTTGATGCTTGGCTCCATTTAATGAAGTCACAACAAAGAATGAGTTGAAAGAACACAAAGAACACGCATCTTCAACTATTGTTGCTTTGTGTTGTCCTTACCTTTCATGAAGGATAAAGTGGTATTATTTTTTTTTCTATATAAACACATTGATTAACGATAGAATTATGTTGTGCTTATACAAAATCAGAGATAGCTGAACGCATTTGAGGGATTAAATGTTAAGCACAGAAGAATAAAATTATATTGTGAAAGCATCAAAATTGCAAATTGCTACTGAAAAAGAAAGAGGTTTAAAAACCCAAAGAAATATTCATCTGTTCATTTCCTATTGTGGGAACTGTGTATTACATATCAACACATACAGAGAAGATGAATCTCCAGCCTGGAAACCCGTAAGAAACTGAACTGTGTTACAAAACCCCCAAAAGTTGGTGGTTTTTCCTTCTTTAAATTTTGCTGGGTTTTAAACTGCAATACAGTAATTAGTCTCCTTGTCTGTAATTAGTCTCAGAAATATTGTCAACAAAAGCATCAGCAGAAATCCGTAACCAGCTCTAGAAGGTTTCACATGAATTTATCTCTAAACTGAGGTTAAGGAACGAACAGTCCTTGAACCTACCGTGCATCCTGCGTGTGTTTGCTAATGAGGATGATCTGCAAAACACCAGAACACACTGAAACAGCTTCCAAAGGGACTCATAGAATTCCTTTGCCAAGCAAACAAGCATTATAACCAAAGGTCACACAAAGTCCATCTGCAATGAATGTGGCCACTTGAAAGGGGCCACTGGTGACAAACTGCATCGTACAGAGGTTTCTGTGAGAGCCTTCAGGCCCATGGCTCCAGCAATAAATAGGCCTGACACATGTGCATTATCATGGAGAAGATCACTTGTAGAAACAAATTCAGTGACCTCTGACACCATACATTGGCAGAATATTTTCCTAACAAAGCACAACTAGCAAGATGACCAGTTTAATGGAGAATTTTGCCTTTATAGCTAAGGACCAAGTTGCATGTGTATGTCCTTTCTTTCAGTGCAGCTATCTCCAATTTGTACTTTATTTTGGATGTGATCAGCTATTTATATTTCCAGAACTAATGAAGAGCTATAACAAAAAGAATCAATAAATGGTGTATCATTTATCCCTCAGAGATTTCAATGCATTCTGGTTAGATATTGTTGAACATTTTTTTCACTGATAACATTATAAGTCATTAATTTATTTTCTGTAGTCCCTTTTCTTTGAAGAAAAGATATTTTTTTCTATGCACCTACATGTTAGCCAACAAAGCAGGGAAATTACAAGGTTCTATGACAGAGAGAAATAGCATTTGAAACAAAACAGAGAATGGGCAACTCCTTCCACAACCTTACTGTGTCACCAGCTATATGAGATGGGATGTAACAATAAATTATAATTTCAAATAGGCAGTAAAAAAAAATACTTAAAAGTACATA